AATAATTTTCTTTTATGCTTTCTAGTTTGTAATAGCTACCAAGAACTGACCCTAGATTTCAGGGTCTACAAAAATCATCAGCCGGATTTGGGCAAAGGACATTAAAAATCTCTCTGATTAAACTAACATAAAAAGTGACGAGAAAAATAGTAATCCGCTCAACAACAACAATGATTTCTATTACATTCAATCGAAGTTTGTACCCTCGTTATAATTAATATTCAGTTGCTCAAAATGTTTCATTACACAACATATCGAACGATTCAGAACATCTCGAATGTTGCCAAAAAAAATTAGGGCCAAATAGTACATCATTAAAGTTAGATTTTTAAATGGAAACCTATTTTTTTTTTATTTTTAGATTTCCCATGGTGTCATTAGTAACTTTTGTATACTAAAGTTTATACCTAACTTCAATCGTTCTGAAGCTATTTGAGTTTATAATAAAATTCACCTAACTTAATACTAATAATAATGGAATGCACGGCAAAAAAATAATAATCATGGATATCAGCAAGAACGTTTAGCATCAGTCCCTCTCATCGTACGTCATAGAAAATTTTTTTCTTTCATTAAAAACTGTTACCTATCTAGTAGTGATACATACTGCCCGGTTGTTTAATACGTTACATCCAGACAAAAATATTAACGATAAATATGTGGCTAAACTGGATTTGTGTCTAATATTCGCCGTAATCGTCATCCAGAAAATCGACCAGTAAGAAACGAAGCCGCAGAAATAGAAGTTTTGGGACCCGCAACACTTGACAACACCCAAAGCACTCGTGGATTGGCTTCTTCTTCAAGATTTACACGCTCAATGGTACAAAGAATTTTGAAAGACAGTAAATGTCACCTCTACAGGATAGAACTTGTCCATGAGCTTTGAAGACGATTTTGATAAAAGGTTGGAGTTTTGCGAATTTAACAACATAATCAACAATGCAAATCTGTTATTTAATGTTTGTTGCTCGGATGAGTGTACGTTCTATTTACATGGAGCTATAAATAGACTATTGTCCATATTGAAGTGACTCGAATCCACATTTGTTTCGAGAGGTAAACTCGCAGTATCCTGAAAAAATAAATGTGTTCGCCGGCATTTTCGGAAATCATATTGTAGGACCTTTCTTTATTCCTGGAAACTTGACCTGACTTGGACATAATAATAGAAAATGACGTTAATTATAATGAAAATTATATTTATTTCCAACAAGACGACGCTGTAATACAGTTTGTGGTCACTTTATGGCAAGAAGTTAATCAGGTCGCTGAAAGGAAAATTAGTATTTCGGACTGGTTCAGCAACATGTACCTAATTACAACTCTTTTAGATCACAAGGTGCGAAATCTTTTACACCTTGTATTATAACAGCTCAAAGATAACATTTATGAAAAACCTGATCTTTGAGCTGAAAAGAATGTACTCTTTTTTAGCATTGATAAAATAGAGCGATTTTGAGAAAAACAGTCTTGTTTCAGTACTGCTCTTATCGCCAATGCAGCCAACCCCCCGGAAAGTTGACTTAAATCTCTAGAAACTTTTCTTTCTTGTCCCAAGAATGCCAAATTCAGATACTAATCTGCGTCACCTGGTAAATGTAACAAGAAAAGCTATAAAATTTTTACAACCGCGCCATAAACGATGAGATCTGAAGCTTCTGTTTTAATGATCTTGTCATTAAATCTCTGGAAACACTCTTAAAAGCAAGCCGAGAAGTGCGAAAGACATTAAGAATTTAATTGTTTTCAGTTGAAGTTTATTATAGTGTTATTAACACCAAGATCCGAGAAATTTTTCTCAATTTTTGTGATTCTTTACTCAGCAACAATTATTATAACACAGTCAACGTATGATAAAGTAGGTATATACTCTATAGTTCGGTTCCAAATTGGAAGGCAGTAGAGAACTGGAAGCGATGTTGTCACGCGCTCATCTAAGAAATCCACTAAATATTTGTATATTGAATTTTTGCCTGAAATGTACAATAATTTTCTTCTGATCTCCTATCTAAAATAATATATTTTATTTCAAGTAATTTTAGGTCAAATGCTACCCTAAGAACATCAGCAAGCCAGAAGACTGGCTTTGCGATCTACGTATCATTGGATAAGGTGAGGTTTGTAATACTCAGTCGATGCAAGTAGTGCCAGCCTCTGTGGAAAAACCTCAATTTTCAACAAATCTGTTTTCTGGTTTATACCATGTCTATACACGCTACGAGGGATTCCTCTTAAACTTGTTTGAAAAATATTGGATTTGGTAACATGGAGGAGTCCAAGCAACTGGAGGATATGATGTTGCAAATCGAATTATATTCAGATATTCTTTTGATAACACTTTAATTTGCTTCGTGATCGAAAATATATTAGCTGCGGCTACTATGTTTTTGATTATGTCTGAAGCTCCGCTATTCGTAAATTGAGGTTATGGAAATCAATTCCATAGATTCGCATATTTATTTTAAATGTGAATGCTTCAATTCAACCGATAATAGCTGCATATACCTGTATATACCAAATAGGTCCAGTAACAAAAACTGTTTGAATATGGACTATTTCATGTGTAAAAATCTGGTTCATGTGTTAGATTTTCTCCAAACTCTGAATTTTCAAAAACTCACAAAAACGAGCAAATACGATAGCAACGGCTAAAGTATCGAGAAGGTGAGCTTGACTTTTCAGTATATTATTTACGTCTATCGGTTTGTTTGTACAGTAGTCGGTGACTTGTCGGTGACACTTTCTGTGAGCCGGCCTTGTAAATTTGGTCTATATAGCGTCGCAGAGTGAACCGAATTTGTGTGGTGGGATCTTGGATACGATCACTGACAAGTTGACGACAGCTGTACGAACAGGGCTTATAAAAAATAAAACATCATTGAACTGTAGTGGGAAATATGTGTTCATATATGTTTGACTATTATATGCTATGAAACGTAAAACAATTATATATAAAGTCTCCCAATTGCATACTGGTTATGATGTTTTTAGTGTTTCTGCATTTCCACATCATTCATATTATATACTACCGGGTGCGCCATCTTTTATGTCGGTATTGAAACATCGAATGACTTTTATATTTACCAACCGAGTGATTTGGTTATACGTGTTTCTAAAACATCAATTTACTACAATTTTAGTCATGAATCTCTTTACATCGAAACAACGCGCCGAAATAGTCACAATGTATATTGAAAATCGACGTTCAGTTGTGTTAACGCAACGTGCATATCGTCGAAAGTATCGTGGCAAACAGGCACCGCCTGACAACACTATCCGTCGCGTCGTTTGGTTTCGAATTTCCTTGAGTACGGAACAGTGGGAGATCGTCAGCATACCGTTCATCAAGACGTTGAAAGGAATTGGTTGAAGCGGTCAGAGACAGCGTTGCCCAGAAGCCAAAAGTGCCGTATCGTCACCGCGCTCAGCATTTTGGCATCAGTGGAACCACGTTGCGGCGCATTTTGAAGGATGATTTGCATGTGTTTTCTTATAAGGTGCAGTTAACATAAAAAATATTGCCAGCTGACCCTCCACGTCACTTGGAGTACGCCCAAACAGTCGCTCGCATGGTTGATGCTGAACCTGATTTTGGAAACAAATTGTGATGACCGACGAGGCCCATTTCACGCTCTCTGGCGGTGTTAATAAGCAAAACTGCCGCATTTGGGGGACGGAAAATCCACATGAAATCCACTAAATGCCGTTGCATGACCGGAAAGTGACTGTTTGGGCCGGCGTTTGCGCCAAAACCATCATTGGGCCATTTTTATTCAACGAAAATGAAACAGTCGATGGAAATCGATATCGGTGGATGTTGGCTCATTATGTCTGCCCACAAATACGTGAAAAAGGTCTTGATGGTTACTCGTTTCAACAAGTCGGTGCGCCATGCCACACTGCAAATGAAACAATCCAGTTTCTGCAGCGAAAATTCCCTGGACGTATGATGTGAAAAAGAGGTGACATTGACTGGCCACCTCTCCAGATTTGACCCCACCGGACTTCTTCTTGTGTGGTTATTTGAAAAGCCAAGTGTACGCCAACAAGCCCCAGACCACTGAAGAACTCAAGGCAAACATTCGTACCGCAATCGCCGCTATACCACCAGAGATGCTCGAAAAAGTAATTGAAAACGCAGCAAAACGGGCACATTTTGTTTTGGCCAATGAAGGTGGCCACTTGATAGATGTTATATTCAACAACTAGTCCCAATAAGTTGTAAAGGACGATGTTTAATAAAAATACCCGAATACCCGACAGTTTTTCGTTTTCAAAGTTATTTCATGTTTACATACCGACATTAAAGATGGCTCACCCTGTATATTTTGAGTCTCACGTTTTTTGCCATCCACGTGTATCCTTGTAAAATAAATTTCTTTGCCACCTGCAGAAATTATTTTCGATGATAAACTGCATCTGTCTGCCTGGAGAAGGACCCGTGCTGAAGATACCCACCTTTTTCAGTACTGGGATAAAATAAATTTGACACTGATCTGACGTCTGTTCCAACTTTCACCTGAAATTAGCCTAAAAATACTGGGCGAACAATGAATGAGAAGAAAAAGAAAGATCCTGCTGATTCTGCAGATGATCCAGCAATTAGTAATGTGAAAGAAACCAAAAATTCAGCAAAAAAGGTAACAGATGAATGCGAATATTTGAAGAAAACCAATGAACAATTGAAAAATGAAGTCGAACAGCAAGAACAAAAAATAGAAATGTATAAAAGCTTAGTCTCAGAAAAGGGAACACTTATATATCAGGTGAAAAACGAAAACAGAAGATTCCGAGAGCACCATGACCTAATCGAAACTCTTGAAGGACTACGAAAACTGAATTTGAAAATGGATCAAATTGAAAAAACAAAAAAATATCAAAAATATTTCATATGCTCAAGCTGTCCTAAACCATTCACCTGCAAAGCAACTTGAGAGCACCATCATCACTCCCAGTCAAACCAATGTAGTTTCAAAACAAAAAGTGACCTGAATAAGACTATCAGTCTGTCTAAATTGAACATAAATATAAAGGTTGACAAAGTCAAGGACACAAAAACGGTGGAGTACAAATACATTTAGAAGATTGCTTCCATGCTGAATTGAAAGGGGAGATTGAGAAAGGATTGCCGCCAGCATAAAGGGTAAGCGAGCCGAATATGTTGAAACCTCGAATTAAAATTGTTGGGTATTACTGCTACAAGAATGTCACAGAAAAGGAATTAGAGGATAACATTATCCAGCAAAATTATGGTTTAATCAATGGGGACAAAAATTATATATATGAAATACATTGCTCATAAAAAAATTTGTGATATTCGCAGAAGTGATAGGTATGTTGTTTAGACAAATTTTTGAGGAAAATTATGGAAAAATTCTAATCGCTTTTCAAAGTCTAACAGTATTTACAAATAATGATATCTCTCAATGCACTAATTGCTTTAGATTCAACCACTCCAAAAATAAGTGTAGAAATCAGAAAGTTTGCATACAATGTGGTAAAATGCATGATAGTACACAATGCGAACAAACAAGTCCTATATTCTGTAACTGTAGGTTTGCTAATGAAAAGTACAACAAAAACCATGATATCCACCATTCGCCTACCGACAAAAACCGTCCTACATTCCAATTGTATCAACGTGGGCCTATAACCCAAATTCAATTTTAATCATTTCATACATTTATTTATACCTTTTTAATTATGGCTAATACAAAAAAATCAAATTTGGACACCTGAGCATTCGCTCACTTCTACCAGCATTATCTGAATTTTCTTTTACTTTACAAAATTATAGAATCGATATATTGGGTCGTTCTGAAACATGGCTCAATAGTAGTATTCCAGACAATTTATTAAATATACAAGGATATTGTTCTTATCGAAAGGGGTGGTGGTGTGGGTATATATATGAAGAATGATTTAATCTGTGAGGAATTAAAAATTGAACAACTTTTTGAGTGTATTCCGGAAGATAAAAATTTGTGTATCAGGATAAAAATTTGTGGTTCAAGCCTAGCCTTTGGGGCAACCTATCGCCCCGCAAACGCAAGAGCAAGAGCTATAGACTATTCTGAAAATGCTCTTACAACACTTACACCAAATTTTGATAACATAATCGTCGTTGGTGATATGAATGTTAATATTCTGGCTGATAATAACAAATTGAAAGACTGTTTTTTTGCTTATGGTTTTCAGCAAGTTATCAATGAAGCTTCTATAACCACGAGGAATTCCAATACGAGTAGTCTATTAGATCCGATATTTAGATTAAGTGATTCTAGTATTTATTTAAATTCTGGAACCATGAACATGGATTTATTCACAAATCACTGTTTAGTTTTCTGGGAGACAACCTTTACACAACCAAGAATCCTAAACAAAAATTTGTCATATACAGAGACTTCGATTACACTAACATTTAAAATGATTTGGTTAATTTCCGATGGAATAACGTATATGATTTAGAAGACATTGATGGTATAACATTTGTTTTTGATAAACATACACCCTTGAAAACTATAGGTGTCAATAAGCCCTGTGCTCCACGGCTAACTAGGGATGTTAAGCTAATTACGATAAAAAGAGATAAGGCTTAACACAGTTCAAACGTGATCATTCAGAACAATCATCTGGGCGTTATAAAAACTTAAGGAATTCTGCCTTGGCAAAGATAAGATCAGAAAAAGCAGCCTATCTATCATTTCTGACCAGACAAAATGGTTCTTCTGCTTTATACAAAAATTTAAAGGCATTGCATTGCAAACATTGAAAAATAGTGAAATTCCTGACCATTTGAAAGACCCAGTATATAGTAATACAAATTCCTGTACGGGAACAATTCATTTTCACAAAACAAATTATTATACTCACTAATAGATTTAATTTCAAACCAATAGATTTTGAAGATTTGCACACAATATTCAAATCTCTAGAATCAAATGCCTTGGAGGTTGATGGAATATCACTTAGGATGTTGAAACCATGTTTTCACATTATATCATGTCACATTCTACACATTATGAACAAGTGTTTGGAGAATTCCCAGTTTATGGAAACGCACTATAGTTAGATGGCTAAACATAATAACCTCACTTCTTATTCTGATTTAAGACCCACAAGCATCCTACCCATATTATCAACATTATTAGAGAAAGTGATGTATATACAGATAAATGATAACATTGTATATTCGGAAATACTACCAGCTAAGCCATGCGGATTAAGAAAAGGGTATACTGCAAGAGCGTTATTAGACTTAACAAATAACGTCGTAAAGGCTTGGGATCAAAATTTGTTAACATCTTTAATCCTCTTAGTTTTTACCAAAGCATTTGATACAATAAATCATTCAATTTTATTAGCTAAATTTAAATTTTACGGTGTTTCTGACTCTTCAGTTGGTGTGATGAATAATTTCATAAAAAAGTTGTTATTGGTATGAACTCAAACTTTAATATCCTTAGGAGTGCCCTAAGGATCAGGGCTTGGACCACACCTTTTTATTCTTTACCTAGCTGATCTGGACAAAGTAGTGAAATACTGCAATATACAATTCTTCGATCATTTTCAATTATACAATTTCAATATTGACAAAATTATAGTTGCAAAATCTCAAGTAAATGATGTTGATGATTACGCAAAAAGTCATAACATCCGTTTAAATCCTACAAAATCAAATGTTATCATATTTGTTCACAAAAAATTAAGTAAAGATATTAAGACATACAAATATATCTCTAGATGGCGAAATTATTCACAGTACATGGATCAGTTATAAACTTAGGTATTTTTCTTGATGAATGTCTAAATTTCATTCCACATGTGAATCATATTACTAAAAGTTGTTTTTCAGTACTTCGTCAATTATACCTCAATAAACAAATTTCAGACTACAAAACTAAGAAAATTTGAATCATTGATCATTTCAAAATTTACATATTGTGATATCGCTTATCTTTCATTTTTATATTCGGTATCTATAAAACGCTTGCAAAATTTCAAAATTCTTGCTGTAAATTAGTAGAAAACTTGAAAAAGTACGATCACATTTCGATATCTTTTCAAAAACTAGGTTGGCTGAATATCACAAAATTATATAAATATCACTTACTATGGTGTGTTCATAAACTCCAAACTACCTCATTACCTCCGTTTTTGAAGAAAAAACTACTAAATCGTATGTGTTCATTCTAGAGATATTCGCTTCCCAGATACACTCACCATGCCTATCCACAGAACTTCATTTTTCCATAAAAGCTTCACCTTTAATGCGATCTACCTATATAATTCATTAACCCCTGACATAGAATCTTTAACATTTGATAAAAATACTTATCTTTCACTTCTGCTTATACAAATAGTATTTATTCAGTTATGAGTAATTATACTGAATATGTATAATACTTTTGTTATATTATACTCGTATCTTTTTGTCATTTAACTATATAATTAATTTTTGTATTTATTTTTGTATGGGTTAAGTGGAGGAACAGCTTAAGCTAAACTTCGCCCAAAGAAGGACGTCTAATATCATTATTATTATTATTCTTGGAGTCACTGGATGATCATCATGAGCAGTTCGAAGCATTTTATAATAATGTATGCGCATTTTTTTTTCATATAATTTCAGTCTATTGTCTTAAGCTACATATATCTCCCAGTACATATTTTGAGATGATAATTTTCCGATCATTTTCTTTTGTATTAATCAACTATACTAAGTGACATATAAATCCGAACACCCAGTTTAAATGGTTTTATTTTAATAAAATTTTGTATAAGTACTTAATGAAGCATAATAAGTAAATGATAAAAATTTCAAAATGATTGCACTGCTTTAAAGCCCTTTGACCTTTAATAATGTGTGGATGGACCCTGATGTGCTACGCATTCTCCAACGCGCCTAGGCATGCTTCTGATCAGGTGGTCAATGTCCTCCTGTGGTATCTCATTCCAGGCAACCACCAACTCCTCTCGAAGTGCTTCTAGAGTCTGAGGAGGACGTTGCAAATTGAGCAACCCATCATATCCCACACGAGCTCAATTGGGGATAAGTCGGGAGATCTTGGTGGCCATGGTAACAATATGACATCATTATGTTGAAAGAAGTCTATTGTGACTCTTGCAACATGTGGTCGGGCATTATCTTGTTGGAAAAATGGATCTGCCAGGGTGTCAAGATAGGGTAAAAGATGGGGTTCTAGAACTTCGTGGATATAACGCTGCGCGTTCATGTTACCTCTGATGAAGATTAAAGGTGACCTGGAACCATAAGCTATAGCACCCCAAACCATAATTCCAACAGTGTGATGAACATGTCTTTCAACAAAAAAACTGTGGATTCTTCCCTTCACCACGTCGCCTTCTAACCCTGGCACGACCATCGTGCATGCCTAAACAAAATCGAGACTCGTCACTAAAGACAATACTGTTCCATTCCTGATCCCAGAGTGACCGTTGTCTGCACCACTCAAGGCGATTACGTCGGTGTTCTCGAGTTAAAGGGAGGACCCAGTGTGGCCGGTATGAAAACAAGCCAAAACTTCTCATTCGTCGGTAAACACTTCGCATGCCAATAGGTCTTCCGTGTTCTGCAAACCATTCATTTGCAATGGAGCTGGTAGTGGAGAAACGGTCCCTTAAGGCCAATAATCTTAGGCGGCGATCTTCACGGTCTGTTGTTCTACGGCGGCGTCCAGTGCCCCTTGCTCTTTGCGTACGGCCTTCTCGAAGCCATGCCTGACAACACCTAACCACAGTGTCTACACTTCTTTGCACTCTAACTGCGATTGCCCGAAAAGAAAGTCCAGCTTCCCGAAGTCCCACTATACATAATCGTACAGCTACTCTAGGCATCGTAACCGATCGTATAGGATGTCAAGAACCAAAATCCGCCAACGTTGATTTTTTACTGCGGCTGAAATATTCATTTTTAGAGCGTTAGTGAATTTAAAAAAAGCAGTATAAAAACCGGAATGTCCAACTGATAAGGTTGAAAATTTTTTCACTTATTATTTACAGTAAGATAAATACATTCACCAAATTTTATTAAAATAAAACCATTTAAACTGAGTGTTCGGATTTATATGTCACTTAGTATATAAATTCTATAACGTTTAGTAAGACAATTCCATTCTCTCATCCGTCATACCTTCAATGACGTATAATTGTGTGATTCTGACATAGAGAATGCTCGAAGAGATCCAAAAAGCATGGTAAGTCAACGACTAAACCGGGAAAACCACTAATCGTTTGACAATGGCATTCCGCCGATTCGAACTCACGCACTAACTGCTACATCAGACCATATTTATGAGAAATATCTTTACAGTAAATCCTTAGACATGAAATTTCTTGGCGCAAATCTACTTTCAGTAGGAAGTCTAAAATGTTAACTGTCGCGCCACTACCGCTTTCCCGTCCATACCGACAAAGGGTAGACGCAGCTTTATTTCAAGTCCGCCGCTGTCTTCAATTTTGATACTAGACTATAGGCAATTGTCTTCTAAACACACTGTATAAATTCATTCAAAAATATTGAAAACTGTAACGAGCTGGAAACTCACTACGTCGTAGCCGCATTAATAGCTTATTCTTTTTATTTAGACATACTTCAGTGAGCGCTAAACATCAAATGAACGGCTTGACTTTGAATGTGTCATCTTTCCTCTTATTGCATTCATTGTCTTTAAATTGGAGCTCTGGAAGCATATATTTTAAAGAGGTGATATACTGCAGTGTAGATGGCTATTTTTATCACCAACACAAAGTTCGCCCATCCGTTATGCTGGAGGTTTCAAAATATGTCTACGACCGTAAGTAGTCTGTCAATTAAGGGAAATTATAGTAGAAATTATAAGGACCACACACTTATTGAAAGACATTCTTTTTGAGGCAGGCTTCCACCGAAATAATGAGGATTAGTTACTTGAATACAATCATGGAAAACCGATATTGTTGTCCAATAACGGGTATTTCAAGTTCGACTCTCATCATTGAGATCTCGAAAACATTAAGATAGGCTGACAAATTTGAACCAAATCACTGACCGACTACTTGATTCATGGTATGGGGAATTCAAAAAACGTGATTATAAAAAATAGTTGGAAAACTACTCGCTTCAATACGAGAGGTTTTCATCTCGATTAATATCTGGGCATCTGTTTTAAAAAATAATCACTAGAAATCATGAAAGCCATAAATTCAGTTTGTGATAAGTAATTACAGCTGGCAAACAATTTCCCCACATTTTATTTAAATTGTCTTTAAAGCTCGAAATTGCATTATACAGTACCCAGTATGTCGTATTTTCTCAAATTTCAGTATGCAACCAGGTAGGTATACATTGAGAGTAAAGTTCATCTTATGTCAGCATTTATGAGTTAGGCTGGAGACGTCGCACCCTTGCAAGGACGGAGGAAGCGAAGCCTGGAAAGCAATATAGTCCAGGTCATATTTTTACATCTGCTTGGAAAAATAATGCGATACCTGTGCTTTAGAACTTTTCTCTAGCTTTCGAGATATAAGCTTAGTATTTGAAAAATTTTCGATAAATTAATAAACATAATATCTCGTAAAAAAAAGAAAATATTAGTGTTGCCAAAGTTCCTAAATATTTTTCAAAGATCCATTAACAAAATTCCAAAGCAGTTAAGGGAGTACTACTATGTTTTATAATTGTTGATTATGCGCGCCCTCAGTGTATACTCTGCGTGTGCGTGTGAGAGATGCAGCAAACACTTGAGCAACCTTAGAATTATCGTTTTTTGGAGCCGGAAACGGCATATTTCGCACTTTTTCAAATATTGAATCGCTTTTATCCCGAGAACTATCAACTTTAGAGAAAAGTTCATAAGATTTTTTTTTTGTTCAGACGAATGTCTCAAAAATCTCAAAAAACCTAATACAAAATTCAATTTTTAGAATTCGTTTGAAAAAAATGTTTAAACAGTGTTTGACGCAGTTTTGAGCCCATGCAGATTAGATAGAAGCACTCCTTTTCGAATGAGGTTAAGCAAGAAATCAGAATCAGAATATTTTTCTGAGCAGATACAGATATCTGGACCAATAAATTGTGATATTTACGGGCAACCACAGATCAGGGTGGAGAGACGTACGACAAATGTCGAACATGCACGAAATTTCTAGTTTCTGTAATAGACACGATATTAATTCAAATCTCGGACACTTTTGTGCTACATTTCAAAAATGATTACGCACACAGCACATTAACTTATAGGTTATGTTTATAGTTTATCAATTATTTTTAATTTGCACACCATTGTTCCATCGACTATCGGCGTTGCACAGTGATTCGAGAACCAGAAAGACAGGCCAGAAATCAAAATAAAAATGTATAGGGAGGAAAAATGTCACAAAAAGTAAGTTCCGAGAAAAGTGAATTTAAAAGTTTAAAGACTCTTATACTCGTTGTACAGGGTGGATCATATATTTGACAGAGTACCTAACGTTTATTTCTTTCGTGGCAGATTGGTGTATGGTAAACTGTTGTAGTAGCTACTAGTTTCGGTGACGATCAGTGGACGTTCATATTTTTCTTTCATACAACAGCTGTGACATTCTTTTTCCCTGCGCGACAAGTTTTCATTTGGGCATAACTGCGGATTGTTGTTGTTTTTGCGTGTTTCCGATACCTCATGGAATTCCACTGCATTAAGACTACATGTTGCCGGTTCTAACTACAAAACAGCAATTTGTGACATTCATCTTTTTCCCTGTACCCTTCAAATGTTTCACGCTTGGTTCCAGGTCTTTGTTGGCAATTATAGGGATGCATAATATATATATATATAGGTGAAAATTAAAGCTTCCTCCTTTTGTTGGGTACTTCGACAAAATTTAAGCAAGGAGGACTCTTTATACTTTTTTAATCTCTCTAGCTTTCAATGGTCTTTGCCATCATCATCAGGAGCTGCAATTACATTGATAAAAGGTGCAACAATTGTGTAAAATGAATTTAACTTAACTTACAGTAGTATGTGAGGATGTTGCTAAATGTTATTTACGTTAAGGATGAGGGAAACACCCAGTAACATGGTGAAAGTTGGATACATGGTACAATGGTCAAAATTATACAAACTACACAGCTGTATGGCAAGAACAAATTAAAAACAGATTAAAAATATTTAAAACGAAAGTTAAGCATTACATCGTGAAGCCACTTGATGATTGCACCAAATGGTGGGCATAGAATCATGAGTAAGATGAATCTTTTGACAGATGGCTGAAGGTTAGCAGTGTCCGTGTAGAATGATGTAACGAAAATTCTTTTGTAAGGTGTGTGCTACGTTGCCAAATCACTTCAGATGGCGTGATTTTCAAGATATGTTGGGTAAGAACTTGTCAACCCGACCAGAGGCAGTTGAATTAACTACCTATATTATTATGAGATGGGCAATTGAATTTTTATTATTTAATTATGAGAAAACACTTATTAAAATTTGAATGGAATGGAATTTTTTTGGTGGAATAGATCAAAAAAAAACAGATTCCACTTATGTTTGTGAAGAGTCAAAATTTGGAGAGATGTGTAAGTGCTCCAATTTTTCGCAATTTAGCAAATATGAGTAAATGACGCTCAGTTGCTTAACATCTGTCTTCTTATTGATTATATATATATATATATATATATATATATATATATATATACGTATGGTTTGATAACATTAGCATCAAGCCTCACAACGAGCTCGTATCAAAGAACTATTTCATCGAATGTGCCCCGTTTTAAAATCACCAGCTATATTGAGATATTCTAAAATGGATTGCGGAATTTCTTAGTGAATTAGACTACTAAAAAAGAGCTTAGAAGAAACGTACATTAGAGCCCGCTCATTGACGGCAATAGGAGGTTGATCAAACACGTAGTTAAGAAATATGTCGGTTTTGGTTGCAGTTAATTGCCGCTTCCGTCATTTATATTTCAAAAAATGGATATCAAATTCATTATGAGCGTCCGAGAAAACATGAAATATTCGAATTTGAGCACAATCCGAACATTTTTTCATGCTGGATTCGCCATTTTGATTTTCCGGAAGATTGATACAAAAATCGTTTTGAGCAAGCTCAAAACATAAAAGTTCGAGCTAAATCGAATCATCTTCTTACAAATATATGCCCGCTATTGAATCAAATTCGCATGTGAAGCTCGAATTTGAGCGCAATCTAAACATTTTTTTGGAATAATTTCCGCCATATTTTATATCATATTCCTTATCAGTGACCTCGAAAACATGAATGAAGTTTTTTGGTGAAATTCAGTTAATCTTTCTAGTGTTGGCCCTATTTTAGGACTTTTGAACCACTGCTAACTAATGAAATTTATAAAAAAAAACTAATAATTTCCAAAAAGAATTTTTTTCCCATGTTCGTTTTGCGGATATGCAATTAAGTGGACTTTTTTTCTTCTCGAAAACTAAGCAAGATACGAAAAAAATTCAAGATATAAAAAAGTTGTATTTCTATTTGCTTAATGAGGACATAATAAACATTGCACACAAGTCAGTGGCGTTCATTTTTCTGTTCCCAAATATTCGTTCAGATCCCGCTCGAGACGCCACTGGACTTAATAAATTTAATGAAGGTTTCAGCTATAAATTAAAAATTTGGGGCAACAATTTTTTAATCAAACTTTTTAAGTCCATAGAAGTCCACAGAAAAATTAGGAAAGGGAAAACACCTTCAAAATGGGTATGTCTAGTTCGTTACAATAGTTAATAGATTATTGCAAAAAATCGTTCATAAGAGTAAATATCAAATAGTAGCCAAAAGTTGAAGCCTTTGTAGTGATTTACATTCAACAAAATCTTAAAAAAACTCAAGCTATCTAGCGACGTAACTGCTACAACAAACTAGACATACAGGGTGAGTTTTTATTGTCTAATTGAACAATATCTCCATTACTATAATACATAATCAAAAGTATTATTTTCAAAAATTTTGGACTATGCGCTACCTACTTGGAATATACCGCCCTCTTCAGGGTGATTCACACCGAAATGTCAATGAAAACGATTTTTTTAAATGGAATACCGTACACCTTTTAGTATATGCCACTTCGCAAAATTGTTAGCGCGACTGGTATTTCATTAGACTCTGTACACACAGTTACTTCATAAATTTCATCCATTCAAAATGAAAATATTGCAAGAGTTAACCGAAGATGATTTCGATAGGCGAGTTGAGTTTCGTGAACAATTTTATTAATTTTATTTTATTATTCTTTATTATTATTAATGATGTCTGCTTCAGTGATGAATGCACATTTTATCTAAATGTGTTTTTTAATAATCATAACTGCAGGTATTGGAGCAATGAAAATCCTCATGTTTTTGTAGTAGGGCATACCCAGTACCTCCAAAAAATTGATATATGGGCAGATATTTTAGGAAACAAAGTGATTGGACCATTGTTTATTAATGGAAATTTAAATCTAGACATTTATTTGGATATGTTAGAGAATACCATCAATCCGCTTATCACTGAAACCATTGAAAACCAAATCGAAGAGAATTGAAACCCTATACTTGATGAGTCTGAAAGATATTTCCGGCAACACGGCGCTCCTCTTCACTATGTTCTCCTGGTTCGGAAATGGCTAGACGACGATTTTCCAAATAAATAGATAGGACGAAGAGAGCCTATTAAATAAATCTATTGTGTTTACTCCCAAACCTGAAAATTTGGATGAGCCCATTGTCTAAAGGTGCCATGATATCCCACAACATGTTTTTGAAAATGTTCGTCAGGAGTTTGAACATCGCTTATATCATTTTTTGGCCAATAACGGGCAACATTTTGAACACTTATTGAAATAAAAAGTGATATTTTCGTGTGTTTTTGTTTTCTATCTGAACAAATTAAAATAAATAAAGATTTTTCTAAATCTTGAATCGACCGATTTTAAAAAATCTAACGTCAAAATAAAGGACTTCGAAAGACCTTTTAAAGTGGCTATTACTCGATACCCCTTCTCAATAAAAAATTTTAAGAGGGTGAAATGGGCTGTAGTAGCTTTTGGTTAAAAAGTTGTCCCCTTTGACAAATCTTTTGACGTGTATCAGCGTTTTTTCTTTCAATCAGTGGTTTTGAAAAAAATCCGTGGTAGGAAGTTTTCAAATGAACACCCTGTATATTTTATAACATGCATTGAAATGTTTTGACGCTTCCAGTATCTCCAGAGATACATGGGCAATGGAACGAATTTTCCAAAATCGTTTCCAATCTTTTCTGAATTTATTTTAAATTTTTTTAGATTTAAAAATAAACTGTACATTGACTTTGCCACATTTTTATCTCTGTAAGGTAGCATAAATAGAATATTAATATGATTTCTCATCTCTTATCCCTGTCTCAACTTTTGTTTTTCTTATTTATGCCATTTTTGCATAGGTGAACAGCTTTTAATTATGATTTCAAAAATTATAAGATGTCATACATTATTATAAAAAAAATGTTCTTGAGTTAACCTTGTACCTAGACATATTTTGCATTTGTCCTCAAGATTTGGGATAAAATATCAACACCCGCGTCGAGCGCAATGAAAATAGAATTATAACCTGTCCTGAGTTGCTCGGGCAGACGAATAATTTCTAGATCACAACGTTGCCAAATCTAGACTGATGACTGAGCATATTTGACCGACGTTATCCATTTAATTCCCTGGTTGAATAAGTTGGTGATTAACTTTTTGCCAAGAGGGACCAACACATTATCTTATGACCTGACGATAGCGTTCCGTAGGATTTGCAGGGTCATCATAGTTCAGAAAACGTGAAAAAGAAAGTATTAGAACTATGTTGCTTCAATCGGACACGCACAATGTGAGGATTACGTAGATATTAAAAAATCTGCGCGACTTTTATTTTAATTTAATTTAATTACCTACGTTTCTTCTAGTGCGCTGGTAGTAGAATATCACATCGACAAAAAGACTTGACCATTCCGAAGACATCACTGTCGATTTATGCTGATCCGTCGCCGATAAATTAGGGGACCTGCCTCCAACATACGGCCAGCTCAATGGCATGTTGCGCTATTATGATGATATTTGTCAAGCAATACCATAAGACGGACCCCAGTCGCTCGTCATTTGCCGTAAATCGGAAAATCGACGTTTTCCAGATTTTCCTCCGTACATAAACTTGGGTTTATGGTGGACGTCCGGTCTGGGATTTTCCAATTTTCTTTTGTCTGGGATAAATACCTACCGACGCTCGTTATTTTTTATGGTCTACATAAAATGCAGGCGGACTTTCGGACTTCGAGGGTTTCCAAATTAAAAACGGAAAATATGTTTATGTACATCAACAGCACATATTATGTAATATGTAGTTTGGAGCTACATTTACAGATGTCACACCGTTAGCTCTTGTAGTAGTAAAGTCTATACTACTACAGGCTTGGACAAAAGAATATAGGGAAACAAAAAGTTGCAAAGTTAAAGTTACGTATTTCATTCCATTAGCGCTCTCAAGGATGGAGAAAGTGGGTGATTACCTCCAACCCCTCCCACCATCCCGGACCACTCGAGGTCTCTTTGTTTAAAGTGAATGTATTTGTATACATCAAAAATAAACATCTGTATCTTTAAGAAGAGATATTCGAAACACTGGCTACTCGTTCTGTGCGTCTGTGACTACTCAAGCACTGATTTGCTTACCGTGTAGTTTCAGTATTATTCCGCTCACTATGCCATTCTGTTTCAGTCACAATTCATAATCAAGCGCCACCAAGGGTCAAGTTCTGGTACCAGCTGGAGCTCAAAAATTATGTGAGAAGCCGAGGCAATTAATAAGTGGTCGGTTTCAATACATTATATATTGATTTTCTTCTTGCTTCACTCAAATAAAGAGAAAATAATAATAATAATAAATCGTCTTTATTTAGGGGGCGAAGTTTAGCATAACGCTACTCTGCCACTTAACCCAAAAAAAAATTATATACTTCTATTCAAAATAAATTTCTTCATATGCGTTGTAGGTGAACCATTTACGAAAGAATGATGTCCTGTGAAGGGGCATTGTGAGTGTTTCAGTGAATCGAATGTTCTTAGAATGGATATCAGTTTATTTCTCAAAAACGGCGGAATGGATGATAGCAAAAACCTGTGGGTGTAAGTAACTAAGTGTAGCTCACACAGTTCATTTACTCTCAACCACTTCATGTCTTTGAAAACAGGGCTGATATGACCATATTTTTTCAAATTATTGATCAACCTACAACATGAATTTTGGATTTTCTGGAGACGTGCTAGAGATATTGAGTCAAGAAATGGAAGATAAACTAAATCGCAATAACTAATTTTGGACATTACCAAAGATTCACACAAATTTTTTTTAGTTGTAAAGTCAAGAAATTGTTTATTAAGATATAATTGACGTAAAATTGAAAAACAACTCTTGAATTAATGAAACCCTTGTGCACCTCCACATTTCTTAGACCACAAGCCTCGCCATTCTAGCGAAGTTGAGTGCGAATTTGCGTATGGCCTTGAGTCCAAGCTCCTTAACGTCCTGGAGGTTCAAAGTGATGGACCCCAGTATAGTCTGCCTGTAGTAGCTAAGAGTCTCGCAACGACACAGAACGTGCGCCGAGATCACCTCTTCTACCCCGCAGCGCTTACACAAGGGATCCTCAGCCACCTCTATCACGTGCAGGTGGCGCCTTAACATGTTATGGCCAGACAACAGTCCCACCAGCAACCTTAGGTTGGCTCTATCCAAAGATAAGCAGAAACGTCCATCCTTAGCGTTGGGCCCTGCAATGAGTCCCCGTACCTGAAGTAGATGTCTGGAGATGCTTCTCCATTTCTGAGAGTGTTGTCTTGCAATCCACTTCTCCATTTTCCTCCTAACTCTTACCGCGGGCACCCCTAAAACTGGCTCAGGATCAACGAGCTTGCTGGCTGTTTTCGCCAGAGCGTCCGCCATCTCACTGCCCTTTATCCCAGCGTGCCCCGGTACCCACACTAACGATACAACACTTACTGATATTATTTACATGTGGTATAAAATTTAGACATTCATCTAAAGTTACGCACAAGTTTTTTACTGACTCACTTACTTCTATAGTCTCACCATTTAATTTTACTTTAAAAATTCTTTTGGTCTCGGTTCTAAATAGTTTTGGTGAAAAATAATGACTTTCGATTTTAGAGGGTTCAACTTCATGATTTTTTGCTTACATACTAATAGATGTTATTTATATCTTCATTTACCTGAGATTCAGCATTTCGAATGTCGTGATTATGGAGATGACTGTAGATCTGTGAATCGTCGGCAAAGAATTGGATATTACAATATTTAACAACTGCGTGGAGATCAGAAATATACAAAATGAATAGGAGTGGCACAAGTACAGACCCTTGAGGACTCCGGAGGAAATGAGACACTTTGAAGGTATAACCATGTCAATGTGTACCCTCAGATATCGATTTCCTAAAAAGCTCTAAATCATTTTTGAGGCAGAATCAGAAAAACCAAAATATTTACACTTGGCTACTAGAAGACGATGATTTATGGTATCGAATGCCTTAGAGAAGTCAAGAAGAACTAATGATGTGATCATATGTTGATCTTTGGCTCTACCAATGTTATCGGTTAAGTCTAATAGGGCACCTGCAGTGTTATATCCTTTTCGATAACCGCATTGTTTGGGATGCAAAATTTTATGTTTAGAGATAATCGTAAATTTGGGTGTACATCGCTTTTTCTAATAATTTGGACAAAACAGGTAAAATACTAATTGGTCTTAAACCAGAATATAATTTTGGTTTACTTATTTTAGCTAGAGGTAACACTAATGCTTCTTTCCATGATTCTGAAAAGAATCCCCTTTCTAAACAGGTATTTATGATGTGTAAAATGTGACCTGTGATACGCAAATGTTTGGAAATTTGAATGCTCTGGCTCACTGGAGAAACTTTGGTAAACAGTGGACTGTATTTTTGTCGATTTGAGTGACGGTTTTCTATATTAAAAACAAATGATTATACACATCAATGGTTATTTGTAGAGCTTTAATTCCACATGCATGTTCCATTGTAAAAGTATTGCAATCGCATTAATCAACTACATTTGAGGTTTCTTGGAATGTCTTGAAATTTCTGAATGACGAAAATCCATGTCTGTTGGTCGGCCCATCTATCGGCGTTTTCTGTAAGTAGCTTTCCTTAAGGCCGTCTGTCACGATACGGAATTTTGTATTAAATGTAGTACGCTTAATTTCGTAAAAAAATTAATGATAGTGTCAGACAGCAATTAGTACATAATTTTGTATGAACAAGTTTAATGTCCAATTTCTGAAAACCTGTTCTAAATAATATCATACTAAAAGTGTGCAGACGACTACTGCGTATTTGGAGCAGTGCAATGGCTGATAGAAGCGCTACGTGATAAGGAATTACATGTTTTGTGTTAACTCCTTGATGTTTTGTGATGAGTAGATGAGATGATAATTGGTTGACAAAAACACGCCTAACCTCAAACACGTTCATTAGTTGTTATCAGTTGTATTCATCAGTTTCACGAAACTCCTCTGCTCATGCTGTTCTACTTATAGATTGAAAACTTAAAAGATGTCATGATCAAAAGAGCAGTGTGACATACTACTAAATGAGTATGAGAAATATGATTGTTTATATGCTGTAAAAAGTAAGGCCTACAAGAACAGAAAAGCCAAATAAGCTGCGATGGATGAAATCAGAATAACTTTAGAACCAATTAGACTTATAAGCCAGTGGATCCTCCACCAGAAGTCATTGAGCATATAGAGCACACCCTTTGCCCTGGTCCTTCTCCCTGATTTTCGGCACCAAATTCCTTTGAAGTAATAAAAGAATAAAGTAGCAAGGTGCAAAGTAAAGTATGGTCAGAATGACTTTGACGTGATAAATGGCAGTTAAAAGTTGACAATTATAGTTTTTTTCTACCTACTGCGCACGATTTCGTACGATATTTAGTACAAAAATGTCTTTACGTGTCAGACAGCATTGTAATTGGTAAACGAATTGGGAATTAAATTCAGTAACGAACTTTTTCACGAAATTTGGTACCAAATTATGAACAAAATTTTGTATCGTGATAGACGGCCTGTAGTCTGGCTATCGGCTGAACCAAATTTCATTAAATTTTGGGGTCCTATATGCTAGGTTGTCATAAGAAATAATGCTGCTGTATTTTCAAAAAATACTTGGTAGCGGATTTATTAGCAAAATGGGATAAACAAAATTCGCAAAACGTCTTCTTACTATATACACTTCCTACTATATACGTTTTCAAATTTGAGTCATTTATTTAACAGCTTGCAGAACTCGTCAAAAGAATTTGATATACCGAAAATTACCAAAGTTGCATAATAAGAGAGATAGTTTACATTATTAAAAATTACCTAAGATAAATCATTATCAAGTTAAATGGGTACCGTTTTTACAATATCTAAATTGTTCGATTAACGCAAAATCTTGCTCAACGAATCCACGACTCTTTACAAGCTTCGAAAATAAAATCGTGGTGTCAATGAATTAAGCCGCATGCATTTTCAGTGCACTGTTGAAGTTCTTCCATAGTATTTACTGATACATCAACTCTTTCATATAGCCCCACAGAAAAAAATCGCAAGGCATTAAATCCGCGGAAACTCATTATTTGGACGTTCATGAACTTCTTGTCTACAATGTGGTGGAGCCCCATCATGCAGGAACCACTTATTCTGTCTCACATTTAGAGAAACATATTCTAATAATTGTGGCAGATTATGTCCAAGAAAATCTAAATAAATTTCACCGATTAGTCGAGGTGGAAAAAAGTAGGGTCCAATAAGCATGCCATTTACCACGCCAGGCCACACATTGTTGATGAGTTCTTTTTACAGCATGTGTATTTGGTGCAAATGTGTCCTCGTCTGTACACAAAATTAATTTCGTGAAATCTTCATTTCTGCCGAACTGTTCTAAAAGTCACTGGCACAATGCAACTCTTCTAGGATAATCTTCAGGTTGTAACGCTTGTACCCGTTGATCTTGATAAGGATAACACTGTTCTTGTCGTATTGTCTTCCACACTTTACTATTACAAACTTCAACTTGAGCTGCTATGGCTTTAGTACTCATTGTTGGGTCGTCTTCGACCGTTTCTAAAATGTCTTCCTCAATTTGTAACATTTCAGGTTGAGCAGGTCTTCCAGCGTGACCTCCTCGTCGTTCTGCATGCTGCGGATGCATTTTGTTGGCACTCTCCGTATGTTAGTATCATGTCCGCTAGTTCGTTGTTTTCGTACACATGGGTCACTCGTAGTGAAAACCATACATACACAAAAGATTTGCCAAATTTATATAAACGATAAAAGTAGTAAACAAAAAACGATAAGATTTTACTCGGCACAGGTCGAGAATGTCAAAAAATCTGTTTAATAACATGCTTATTTTTGAAATTTTTAATCTTCTACTATTTCTTTTATTATGCAACTTTTATGTAGGTGATTTTTGGTACATCAACTCTTATCACAGCAGTTGAAATAAATGACTCAACTTTGAAAACACCCTGTATATGTATATATAAATATATATATATATGTATATATATATGAGCGGTAGTCATTGCCAAAGCCAACGACCAGTTGGGTACAAAATACAATTAATTGTTAATTGGGTAATTGTCAAAACTCTTAGGCTTAAGTTGACTCTTTTGACGATAAAATCAAGCTTTCGGCATTCTCTATGGAGCCTTCATCAGGATTCTGAAAACACAGTTGTGATGCTAGCAAAGAAAACAGTACAGATTTAAATTGTCAGACAACTTACTCGTCGGTGAGGTTGCAGCCACAAGGTGTTTCAGAACGAACGTAGAGAAGAT